ATTTGCTCCCCACCCACCATCACTTGAAAGATATCAGCACGTTCGAAGGAGTCTTCCATACGAAGCTCCCAGTATAAAAAAGAGGGGGACAAGTTACTAAAAGCCTCTGCAGGGAAAGACTCCTTATGTAGGAACAGAAAAAGAGAAGTCAAGGTGCTCAGAGGGGAAAGGATGCAGCAAATTAATGCATACTCAACGCCAAAGCAGGGTTAGGCATGCTGCTAAGGAAAAAAGAAAAACTTTTGTTTTTTTCCAGGTAAGCACAGTCCATGGCCTTAGCCTCTAACATCCCGAGGTACTCTTTTTGAGACTAAATGAAGCCCCCACTCTCTCTGAGTGGAGAAAGTTACATTTGGATCCAGACATTGCAATGGAATGAAGATTATTCTGCTTGCGTGCATTGACCTTTATCAACCAATTCATCAGAATTTCTGGAGCACGAATCTCTGTTAGACATCCTCTGCAACTGTTCATGTGAAGAAGGATCATTCTTCGCTGGCTCAGGTCCAAAGGATCTTTTGCAAGCATCCAGAGATGGGAAAAACAAAATCAAATCCGTAGACTTTTGAAATCTAGTTAGGGCATAGTTGGAGGAGACAACGAAAATAGCAGTCAGGCTGCATACATCTCTAGAGAATACTGTTTTTCTTCCTGTGACTGCCTGAAAAAACAATTACATTTCTCAATATTTCTCCAACTAAGTCTTGGATTCAGTGCTATACAGCATAGCAATTGCTGGTTTGAGGCTCTCCTTTCAGTTCCACTAGATAACCAGGAAAGAATGGGTAGACACATATACACAAACTCATGATCATAAAAAGCAAAATGCTTTTAAAACCAGATTACCAGGGTTTTAAAGACTGGGCAACATTTTACTATTTAAGAAAAATATTTATTTGCAAGAAATGGAAATACAAAAGCATAACAATTTCAATTTTTTTCAAACTAAGTACAAGTATCCTATAAATCATTTATTTTTGGTATTTACTTAGCTATGATAAAGAATAAAAGCCATAAAAAACAATGCACTAGGACAGATAATAGACTCACAATGTATTTAGATTTAAACACTGCTGGTCTATGTGACCTGTTACAAAAGAGAAGCGAGCCCAGCTGTCAGCATAGACTTCAGGCTCACTGTTGATTATAGCCCAGGGTCCACTCAGCGTTGTTTTAAAAAGGGTCACTCACAGTTTGTCAAAGAGTGCTGGCATTTTTTATAGACTCAGAAAGCATTTTCTCTAAAAGGGAGATTTTCTAAGTAGTGTAGGCTGTGGGTCCCTGGTGCAAAAAGTTCATGTTCTCACCCAGCTGGTGAACAAAGGATGGGAACAGAGAAACAGAGCTCAAACCCCCGGTTCCCGTTTTCCCAGATGTCGTAAAGCTGGCTAGCTGGAGCTCACAGAAGATTGGAACAAAGACAGGAGATGGACATCTGGTGGATAGCGCCAGCACAGGGTGAAGAAATGAACATTGCACAGCAGGACCATCGCAGGGGCAGAGGCTGTGATTCCTGCCCAGAGAACCTCAAAAGCTTACAATGTGTTCAGAAAGAAATGTGCTCAATCTAATCCCAAATTGGTATACTTCCTATATTACTTAGTTTGTTATCCATCTCCTAGTAAATTGTCACTCTTGTTTTCTGTTTCTATAAAATTGACTTTAAACTTACCCAGCACCCAATACCTTAGTAAGCACTTAAGAAATACTATTTCCCTTCTTTCTAGAAACCATGACAAAATAAAGCATTCTTGAATTTTATGTTGCCCAAAATAACAAAACACCTCCTAGATTTTTCCTGTGGTAAGTGCTGACCCTTTGGCCACAGAGGCATGGAACATTAACCCTCAAATGGGCCAGGAACCTGTGCCCTGAGAAAATGTTCTGCTATGAGGATTTATAATCCCCTCAACCCTAGCTGGCCATTTTTTGACGTAATTGCACCCCTGCGAAATGGGATTTTCCTAATGGGCATAACCCTATTTCTTTTCTCCTGATGAGCAAATCGGATAGTGGCTCACTTTTAGAAAACCATTTCTGAGGCTTTGAAAAAAGTTCTTCCCCCTCCCACACACTCCCATTGCAATCTAATACCAAAAGGCTCTACAGAAAATCTCCCAGGGACAAGGGATTGCTCAGTCATCCTGGATTCATATACAAGGCACATTTAAGGCACAAATGAGTATCTAAGACAAGGGAGGAATGTGTGTGTGTGTGTGTGTGTGTGTGTGTGTGTGTCAGAGAGAGAGAGAAACAGACAGAGAGAGGGAGAGAGACACCTTGCTGGCACTTGAGTCTTCTGAGTTAACTATTGTTAATCAAGCTTCCCTAGTCTCTCCTATTCCTCAATGTTCCCCAGGGCCTCAGGCGGGATTCTTCCTTATAACTGAAAAATTCTAGGAGTGAATGAATGAATACATGAAAAATCTAAAACTGTCTCTGGAACCTTCACAGCCCCATTCCATGGCCCCCCTACTCTCTCCTGTCACTGCCCTCCCAGCAGGGCTTATCCTATCACATGTCTACTAATTGCCTCAGCTGAAAGCGGTTACATATTAATAAAATGACTCTCACTAGGACACTACCTGCCAATGGCTTTGCAGGTCCTGCCAGCCCAGCAAGTAGAAGTGCTGGTGTTTTTAATTCAGGTGTCTTAATGACTGGACTCAACAGAGCCAAATGAGGAACTCGTGGCAGACAAGGGGGAGATAAAAAGACTCCTCTTGCACCTCCAGTCTCCCGTGCTGGCAGGACCAGCAGGGACAGTCCAGCCCTCAACGGGGATGGGATGTCTCACTTTCTGAGTTATGCTCGAAGTCACACCCGATAGGACACATGGTTCAGACAGGCTGGAGAGGCCTCTGATTGTGCCTTTATGCTTTTGCTTGGTCTGAGGACATGGGAGCGAGGGGCCGTGAAATGCTGAAAAAGCATTTTAATAAAACACTTATGACAAAAATCCCAGACACTGACTCACTGCCAGAATACAGAAGAATCAACTCAACACTCCCACTTTATGGGCACATAAGATTCACAGCTACCTTTTGGCATCCAAGCTGAATCGAGAGATTTAGGAAGGAAAAAATGGCATTTATGGTTGGTTTGTAAATATGTGAACTAAAAGCTGCTTTCACAATCTACAAATGAGGTCTCCAAATCAAAATCATTTATATTAACCAAAACGTTATCTAATTTTGCCTATATTGGTGTCAACTCTCATCCCTACCCCCTGCCAAAAAGGAGCACCTAGTTCAGCTGTCAGATTTTTATATAACACTCTCTTTATGTGAGCTAGACTCCAGAGTCCTAACACTTCACAGAAATTCTTTCTTAAAATTGGCACTGAGGCCTTTCATTTACAATATCCCTTTTTAAGTGCAAAGCCAAGAGCTGTGAAAAGAACCATGCTGGGGGGTCAGGGCCACTCAGGTCTCATCCAGCGAAAAATTAGTTTTTCTCTGAAGCTTTGCAAGACATTTCCTTTTCTAGAGTAATCAGAGGGAAGAGGAAAACTTGTTTACATGATGAGAAATATAACAGATTTATTCTTTATGGGTTCTAGTTGCTCTAACAGTGTCATATTTACTAAAACATAAATTCAGTCACCAATGCCTGCCACTATTTGAAATCTTCAGAGCTGACATGAATTAATGACTAATTAATGGGGCTACTCAGTGGCAAAAAAAAATCCACTGGTATTTTGGGCTTAACTCTTGAACAGAAAATGTGCACACATCCATTAATTATCTGGAACAAATCTGGTGTTATCCAACCCTTTTGTGTCCTCTTGACCTCATTTCTGTCCTAAAGGAACAACTGTTAGTTCCCTTTACTCACTCAAGCAAGGAGTGGAGGGCGGAGGTTTTCCTTGAAGAGCAGCAATGTTGGTTCTTGGAATTCCCTTAAAAGGGCCATCTGAGCCCTCTGGCTAATGTCCCATGTCTCTAGATATAGATTCTGCTCTAGAAGGACAGTTTCCCAGAAAGAATCCTACTGATCAGAGTTCTGGAGACAGTGATAGCAAGCAAGGGTGAGTAGAGTGGAAGGGAAATGAAAATCCTCAAAGCCCTAAGGACAAAGCCTAGAAGTTTCCTTTTTCTTCTCCCTCCTCATTGAGAAGAGCAGGTTTTCTACTCTGGCTATATCTGGGAGACTTAAAAACTCAATCTGGCTCAGCTGTGGCAGATGCATGGGCTGGCCCATTCTCTCACTTCTGCCCTTAAATATGAAACCTTTCCTCTCCCACCGCCCAAACATTACTTGAGTTAATCCTGTCTTTTCACCTTAGGGCCCCACAGGGTGCCTATGCCTGATAATGACATGACATTTTAAAAGAGAGGGTCACAGCAATGGCCCACAGTTACCAGACACCAGGCTGGCCCAGGAGGATCTGAAGTTGCAGAGTGGAGCACAGAGAGAGGCAGCACAGCCGGCTAGCAGGCCCTCCTCCTGCACAGCCTGGGCTCCGCTTGCTCTGGCCAATGCAAGGGATGCCAAGAACCATCCAGACAGCAGGGCTGCCAGGACCATGGCGGTCCCAATCCAGCTTTCATACACAGCAAGAAGATGAACTTGGCCATCTCCCAGTCTGGAAACCTCCCCATCACAGTAGGGAGAGCAAGGAATCGCTCACAGTGAGCCCCAAATGGACATAGGTAGACAAAGCAGGGATCCACTTATGAGGTATGACGACAAATGTTAATGACACCAAATCCTGTATCTGATGTGGAATGGAAGGCCAGGTGTGGACTTAATCCCTGTAAGTACAGGCTCCAATGACAATGTAGATGACATGAGAGGGAGGGAGGGAGGGAGAGGAGGAGGGGGGAGGGAGGAAAGAGAGAGAATGGAGCTAAAACTAAAAACATTTCAGCTGCTACTAAAAATAAAATACAAAATATAAGCACATTTCCTAAACAAAAGCTTTTATAAGCTAGAAAAAATATTTAAGAGGAGAGGGTGTTCTACATTATACAATAAAAAAAGCTATTTCCATTTCTTAATTTGTAAGAAAGAGGAAAGATTGTTTTAAACTACAAAAGTTACTTTTAATCATTAAAAAAAAAATAAAGGTAGGTTGGGGGTTAGGTTGTATTTCTTTGGGTGAGCTGCAAAGTAGCCAAACATGACTATAAAAGGTCAGAATGTGGACACACAAATGTCACCTACTTGGCCCCATGTTGAGGCCAGGGAAGAGAGGGACAGAGTGGAAGTGCAGAGGGAGGAGGAGGCCGGGCAGGTGTGGAAAGACAAGCCAGCAAGGTCGTCTGACATGCATGTCATTGTCCAACATGCCTGTCGTCAGGGACAGGGCTTCACTTCTCTGCCGTGGAAACAGGATAGAGAAAGCATTTGGCCACAGAGCCACGGACCGAGCAAGGCATTGCTCTAGCTCCCTCTGAGCTCGTCCTAGAGGCAGACACATGCCCCAGGGGATTTCTCCATAGTAATTATTTTACAAGCCTCCAGTAAAAAAGGAAAAAAAAGAAAAGAAAAGAAAGGAAACAAAACATTTTCTGGAAAGATCGGGGATCCCAGATGCTAGGGTGCCCTCCTAGCTTCAAAGGCCAGCAGAAGGCTTTGCTGGCATGAAGGGAGGCCTGGAATCTCTCCAGTGTGACTGCTAGCGAGAAGCCTCGGCGAGCTAATAAATACTATTTACACACGGGGAGGAGAAGCTGGGGAGGCGGAGCTATGGGTGTGTGGGGACCAGGTTATGGAGGTCCTACAAGCAACGAGATGGGGCAGGTTCGCCTGGAGTAGAAAAGCCTGATCGCTTCAGGCATTGCACTTGCGGCCTGAGAACATGAAGGGGAGCCCTCGCCTGCCAGTGCCGGTGGGGGGACCATCCGGCGAGGGCTCCCAGGGGGCAGAGTGGCCGGAGGGCCGCCGTCAGGTGCGTTCCCACCGCACACCCCGCCGTGAGCAAGGGAGGACATGAGTCAGTGCTTTGCCAAATCCCGACAGGCATCGTTGTGGCATTTCTGTGGCTAGCGTCTGGGGTCTAGATTGAATAAGAGTCATTTCTTCTTCAAAGAGGGGGTGCACCTCACAGGTGCGCATCAGGCAGCATCTCTTTGGCACTGCTGGTGGAAACAAGCCTGCTTGTCCCACCCCCACCCCTAAAATAATTTCCTATGGCAGTAAGATCAAGGAAGGGAGGGACGTGGGCTCCCGCCTGCACGGAGGGGGCGGACTGCGGGGAAGGTGCTCTCTCACTGCAGGGGAATCCCAGGCTGGCCTCCCATCTGAAGCCACTAACGCTAGTCCATGTCTTCGTCAAGATCCAGTGGCAAAGAGGAAAAGCTTATGACAAAGGTGGTTTGAGGATGTAAGAGTAGAGTTGGGGCAAGGGGGGCAGAGAACCTCTTTAGAAGGTGGTGTTCACTCTTCTGTCGAGTTCTACAACTTTTAGTGTTTCATTCCCCTCCAGTTTGGCGCTGACCCTGTGAAGGCATTGAAAGGAAAAACAAGTATTAGCCACCAACTGTTAACTACAATTCTTGTGCTTTGTAGTGTGATACAATCACTGGATGACTGCAACTCGGTGGGCTGGCCCAGGCATGTTTCTTGTCCTTTTCCCTCCTAGGAGCAGTTCTCTGTCCCCCAAATCCCCCACTGCCAGCCTATCCACTCTTCCACATTCCCACCTTTGCCCCCACCCAGAGGAGGCACCACAACGTGAAGGATGACAGTGAAGGATGACACGGTGCCTTGCTACCGATTTCTTATGCATTGCATTAAATTGTTGTATTGACTAAGCATGTTTAGCCCCATGCTAAACTCTGGGAAGGAGGAAATAAAAGGATGAGAGCTGATCTCTGGTCTAGAAGAGTTAATAATCCAGACAAGGATTTTTAACAATGAACTAATTTGAAATAACAATAAATCTATAGCAAAAAATAAATATGTTATTAAGCTACATAGCAACCTAGAAAGTCTCTAGGCATTCGGAGGAGAGCTGGGAGGCTTTGTTATTTGGGAGACATCACAGAATAAGTGGGATTGGAAGGGGGCCATGAAAAACTGAGCTAACAGGAGAGAAACTTGTGTCATGTGTCAAACAGCTCAGTCTTCTGTAGTTTCCAGTGGCAGTTTCGGACTTTTTCTATAATACTGCCTCACCATCTGGGGTAGTTAAAAGAATTTATATGATACCAGTTGAGCACTGTCAATCCAAAAATCCAAAATCTGAAATGAATCGAAAACTTTTTAAGTGCCAATAGGACAAAGGAAATGCTCACTGAAGCATTTTAGATTTTTGGATTAGGGGTGCTTAACTGATAAGTATAATGTGAGTATTTTGAAGTCCAAAAAAATCCAAAATCTGAAACACTTCTGGTCCCAAGCATTTTGGATAAAAGACACTCAACCTGCATCACACCTGTAAAGTGCTATTTGGCTCCAATTCTCCATGAGTTGTTTCTGTTGGAGAGTTATGGGGAAATCCTTTTGGAAACTTAAGGGCTCATGTGACTACAAGGTCTAGTTATGGTGGTGGGGGAGGTCCCTGGGTGTGCCGGTCAGCACGGGACGGCGTGGCCACGTGCACACTCCTGCTTACATGGGTTGTGGCTGGGGATTTAGCTGGTCTGTGCTCCACTGCCTCGCAGAAATGAGTAAGCACTAGCAAATGCTAAATATACACGTAAAATGTACACGTGTAGAAGTATGTAATTATGACGCTTCCCCTGCAGGGTTAGGGGAAGAAAGCTAAAGAATCTGAACCAAAATCTTTCCCACTTACACTAGAACAGTCTCATTTCTGCGAGGCAGTGGACCTTCAATATAAATATATAAGTGCATTGTTATAATTAACACATGTATTTACATATAAATCATAAATGCATATTGACATGTAGCATAATGTATATTTACTCTCTAGTTGGGAGGAATCTAGAGAACGTGTCTTGACACTGCATTTGCATAGCAAGCACGCTGCTGTTGCCTGGGCTGTATGTTCACGCGTGTGGCTCGGAGGGGAGGATGGAGATGGTGGGAGAAGCCCTTCCCCCACTCCTTGCTGCCACCATTGTCAGCTTTCCACTGAGGCAGCAGGCGTGAGGGAGCTCATGCCGGGTCTTTCCCCATCTCTGATCAGGGCAGCTGTTGGCCAGCAACAGACTGTCCTCAGTACCAGGTCTTGGAAATAGATCCTGAGAAGGCGGACTGGACTAGGCCTCTGGGAGAGCCTGTACACTACATTCCAAGTTGCTGACTCATGAGCCACCATCAGTGCACTAAAGGAATTGAATCTGTATCTATATGACTCACAGGTGCTGCTGCAGCTCCAAAAGCACTGACTTCTCCAGGCTGGTCTCATTCGAGATAATGAAATGGGGAAGATCCACATCCGGCCTGGACTCCAGCCCTGACACCCTGAGCAGGGAAGAGCCTCTATCCCAGGGCCCAAGCTCCCCAGCTGAGGACGGGCCGGCTGGCTCCTCTGGGGGAGAATGTTCTTCGTAGATCAGCAGGTTCCTGGATCTCACTGAGAACAGAGCAAGGTAACAAGGCATTAGCAAAGGACCACAGTGGTCCCCCACGTCCTCTCACTGCAGACGCTCAGGGCTGGTGGCTGATGACAAGGTGTGTGTTCTAATTGCCCAGAACTGAAGATGCCAACTTGGCATTCTATAAAAGCTTCAGGGTTTCAGAGTTTGTACATTAAAAAATTATACCAATTATACAGTGCTGGAAGAACAATAGAAAAGCAAATAAACACCAAGCAAACTACCACCCCCACTGCTTTGGAAATAAAACTCCCCCCTCCTCCCCACCCATAACCATCTAGGGAAAATAATTCTTGGGAATGGTAGTCAAATACTTGGTGATGTCCAGACCCAGCTAAAAGAAAGCACCCCAGTGAGTGGGTCTTGCAGGGAGATGAGGTGCAGGGCATTTTCATTTAAAAACTGGAGAAAAGACACAAAGCCAAAGCCATAAATCAAAGGACGGAGACAGTCTCTTTTGTTTTATAGGATAGTCACACAGCTAGATGGCTCTGTAGCACTTTTATACAACATAGAAACTATGCTCTCATTGCCTTCCAATTAAATTTGGAGATATCTTCCCTTGGGGAAAAAAGAATTTCCCAACAGGCCACTGAAATTATTTGATTGGAATGCTAGCACTTCTGTCATATACCTGGCAAGGATACACCTGCTGGTAAAGACCACGGACATTTCAGAATGGCAAAATAGTCCCTACCCTAAATCCAATACAGTGGTCCCCCCTTGTCCTTGGATGTGTTCCAAGGCCTCCAGTGGATGCCTGAAACTCGGATAGTACCGAGCCCTATTTATACAATGGTTTTTCCTATACATCCATACCTATGATAAAATCTAGTTTATGAATTACGTACAATAAGCAATCAACAATAAATAATAAAATAAATAATTCTAATAATATTGTGTAATAAACCTTATATTAATACAAATGTGGTCTCTCTCTCAAAATTTCTTGTTGTACTGTGCACACCTATTTTTGGACCTTGGCTGACCACAGGTAACTGAAACCACAGAAAGTGAAACCTTGGATAAGGGGAGACTACCACACCCCCTAACTCCATGTTTGTTCTTATTAGCGGACATGTGTATTCACATATGTATTCCTTACTCACCACCCATTTGTTTCCTGCATACTTAGGCAACTGATCTAGGTGAGAATATCCTACACTTCTTATCTAACACCTGAATATTCAAATTCTCTAAGTCTTGGGCATAATGTTTTGTAAGACAGACCGATTCTTTAATTTCATTTTATAAACTCTTACTATGGTCACATGCAGTTCCACTCAGTGGAGGCAGAAATACCAAAATTTTCTTAAAATGTCATAGAAAGCTTAACCCTCTTTCCCCCCAGCCTCGTCTACTTTCCTCCCCCTGACCAAAACTCACAGAGGGAATATCGGGATGTATCTGGGAACACAGTCTAGAAATGCAGTTTGCACACTGGGCTCTGTCAAGCTCTGGAGAATTCCCAGTGATGCCTGAGCCCAGTGGGTGAGGGGCCCCAGGGGCAGGCAGCAGCCGGGCACGGAAACCCCACATCTCTTCCTTCCCCTTCCAGTGGAGAAGTTCTATGTTTACCACTTTTTAAAAATTGGATTTTCACATAAGATTACATTTGGAAAAGTGAGAAACCCAGCTCTAAAGAAACAAAACAAGACACTTCCCAAGTTGCTGAGTGCTGTCTTACCGACGGAGGCTGTGTACGGCTCCGGCATGGAATGCTGGCTGGGCAGAGCCATCTTGGTGGCAGAGGGATAAGGCCCGTAGCCCTGAAAGAAGCTGCCAAATGCCACGGCGAAGCACAGCACAACAACCTGGAGTGGCAGGAGAGAACATGGGGAGCTGTGGATTCCAGACTCCACAGGGCAAAGCTTGAGACCTGCAACACATGGACAGCTGGGGAGAAAGACTCCTCTCGGTTGGGCCAGCAGGTGGCGCCCACAGGTCACTTCATTGGAGTGTCCTACAGAGGAACAGCTCAGGTTGAGTGAGCTGTGTGGTTTCTCCAACCGCACAGCACTTGAGACTGGAGACAGGCGCCTGGGCCAGGGGCAGTGACTGTGCTGTCCCTCTGGGGAACTCACCATGAGGCAGGTGCCAGTCTGCGTGCCAGCTAGCTTGCAGGTACGAGAAACCTTGCCCATCACCAAAGTCTGTAGCTTCTGGAGCTGCTGGAGGAGGGTTCTGCCAACGACAACAAAAAAACAGCCATGAAGGGAGCCCGAGAGATGAGAGATGCTGTTTGATGATCTCCCCATGTGCTCCAGGAAGGCTGCTGTGACTTTGTGCCTGCATTTGAACAGAGCATGGAGGCACAGTTTCCTCTGGGAGAAGCTACCAACACCAGCACCTTCCAGCACCATTGTCACAGAGCTTGCAAGGGCTGAGTCAGCCCTGATCCTCTGACAGCTTGTCCTGTTCTTGCACTGCTCTAAGCAAGAGCTGAATGCTCCCACAATACCCCTGATAGGCCGTGCCTCATTTGTTAGCCACTGAGAACAAAGAAAAAGGAACATTCTGATTGGACGGTGGCTACAGTCTGAATGTGTTTGCCCAAAATTCCTATGTTGAAACCTAGCTCCCCAAGTGGTGGTGTTAAGAGGTGGGAACTTTGGGAGATGATTAAGTCATGAGAGTAGAGTCCTCATGAACAGGATTAGTGCCCTTATCAGGAGCTGAAAAGACTACAGTTCTTCCCTTCCTCCATGGGAGGACACAGCAAGAAGATGCCTTCTATGAGCCAGAAAGTGGGCCCTCGCCAGATACTCAATCTGCCCGCACCTAGATCTTGGACTTCCCAGCCTCTGGGGCTGTGAGCAATAAATTTCTGTTGTGTATAAGCCACCCAGTGTATGGCATTTTGCTATAGCATCCCAGAAGAAGACCATGGTGAACTTACATAAATTGAATTCTTGAGATGAGAAACATTGATGAAAATATAAGAAAGGAGAAAAGCAAAGATATGAGGACAATGACCAGCAGAGAACAACTGAAGAAGTTGCCAGAGTGGCAGCTGTGAGTGGAAGTGGCAGCAGTGTCACCGAGCACCAGGCATTCAGAGGCAGGTTGGAAGAGGGAGGGAGAGAGGAAGAACAGCTCTGTCTAGGGCAGGGAGGCAAACGGCCATCTGCACCTCGAGCCTGTGGTTCTTGAAGTCTGGCACCACCTCCGCAGCCAGAAACAGCCAAATACGAAAAAGCAAAGATGCCCGCTCAGCTGGCCCCTCACACCCTAAGCCAGGGATCTTGGAAACCATCCTCTGATACAGACTCTTGTCATTCTTCAGGAAAAGACAGAACAGGAGCAAAGACAAAGAGCTGTTTTATCCCTAAAATTGGACAAGTGTGCATCCCCTTAAAAGGCAAAAGTTTGAGGGTGAGAATAGTCTTATATACTCTGTTCTGTGTGACATCAGGACACAGAAAAAGCAGATGGTAAAATCCTTTGCAAATTCTGAATGTTGCAAGGGATAGCGAGGGCCTGACAACACACCCTCCTGACTTAGAGCACCAGGATGAATTCTGCATGAGCAGTGGGGACAGCAGCAGCTCCCTGGCCCTCACTCCTCACCCCCAAGCCCAGTGCACGTGGCAAAGTGAAAGATTTTATGAGCAGACACTTTGTCCCGGGTCTCAAGGATTTTCAGAAAATCCATGCTGTGATGTAATAATGTTAGAGAGCCACACAGGTTCACTGGAAACCATCAGCAAATCATTTGTGCACAGAACAATTCTCTCTCGCTGACAGCTTGTTTCTCCTCCCGTGTGGTTCCATCTATACCACGTGTTTGCCTGGCGCAGTGATCTTAATTTAAGCAACACAAAATCATTCACCCCATTAGTTAATATCATTAGTTTAAATTCTACTTAATGTGGAGGTGTTTTTTGTACTTGTACATTCTTTGTTGCTGGTTATATAGAAGTATGACCGCGTGTAGTTTAGACCTGGTTTATATTTGTATATATTCAAGCACCATATTCTTTAAAAGCATTCAGTATGCTACTCAAGGCTGAGAAATACTGACAGAATGATTACTTTAAACTTTACTTAAAGAAATGGTTTGCTCCTAAAAGGTTCTATGATGCAGCACCTTTTCCTCCTCACCACGCTCTGTTTAATCTCTTCTCCGGACTTCCCCGGACCACCCTCTTCCTACCCACCCACACGGCTGCCTTTTCAAAGCTGAGAGCTGAGTGATCTACTGCATAGCCACTTCCTGAGTGTGCATGCGTTCTCACAGAGCTCGGATTTTGCTGGCTATAGCATGTATTTGATGGACTGCCATCTGTAATGCCAGCCCCAAGGCCTTCGCTGGGTTCTCCCTGCTGGGATTTACAGAAGTCCTGGGGCAGATTTGAGGGTGAGCCTGCAGATAAGAATTCACAGCACAAACCCTTTCCTCTCATGTGCTGTCCACCTCCCACGGCACCAACTGATCAGTGGTGCTTTGCTGCCTGCTAAGCTATGAGAAGTGGCCTCCCTGCTCGCTCGGCCTGCTGAAGAGCTATTTCTTTAAGTGACGACTGCCACTTTTGCTGGCCACCTCAGCTTTCCTGGGCGCTCCTGCTGCCTGTGTGCCGGTGGACTCGAGGTGCTGAAGTTTAGCTGTGCTCTGTGAATGAGTGGGTATCATTTCTCCATCCAGCCTTCATGTAGACGGGACCTTCCCAGATGGCACCGACGCCACGCCACTTTTGCTCCGAGTTCTTAAGGTGTTTTGAAAGTGAAATGATCATTTCCATTTTTTACTAACAGTCCCTATTTACCCGCAACCATCCCATACTTCCTCCCTGCCCATCTCCTGCTCCTTGCCTGGTCTTTAGGTCATGAATGGCCAAGAAAATAAATTCCACACAATGCTTGGAATCACTCCTCCCTTCCAATTTCTGGTTGAGATCGCTGAGGCTGGTACCCCCTTCCTCAGGATGAAGAGTCTCCCAGGAGGATCTATGGTCTCTCCTGAAAACAGATTCTAGCGGGCCACACATACCTAAAGCCCACTGATGGAATACCTGAGGCTCAAATTGGAATCCTCCCTCCCCCAGTTACAGGTGCAAAGTGCTACACAAGTTTGGCAGAAGCAGCATTTAATTCTGGTTGGAGAAAGCCGGAAAGGCTTCACATTTACTAACCACAAGGCACTTTACTTGGCATTCATGGACACATCTTTTCCAAACTCAAAGATGATTATATTCTGAATCCACTGCAAATGAAAATGGTTGTTTAATGGTCCCTGATTTCTAACAGTTTATAATCCAACTCTTTAAGAGGAGCAAACATGTAGTTTAAAATATATATTTTTAGTTTGGAATTTTGGTGGAAAGCAACAGTGACTAATAATGTGCTGTTTGCTGTTGCTTCTCCTAGTTGGTTGGAGAAAATAAACTGAACTGAGTGGAAATGACAACATTCTCAAGGCCCCACTCATCAGCAACACGAAGCATTTCACCAGGGGAAAGTGGATTAACTCATTCATCTCAAAAACCTAAATAGATTTCTGTGATCCGATAGAGTTCGAGAAGTTCATACATATTCATACAACACATAGGGAAAAAAAATTAACAATGTTAGAGGATTGCGTGCCCATTGATTGAGTTCTAGGAACTTAATCATATACTAAAATACTAAGTAATTGTCTTACTAAAGGACATATACTAAAATACTGCATATACTAAAATACTAAGTAATTGTCTCAAAGTCATGTAACTAGTAAGTAGAAGACCTAAGATGTACACCAAAACCTATCTGACGCCAGAGCTTGTGTGCTTTCCAACACGGTACGGCACGGTTTCCTAGTCTATAACCTAATAAAAATAACAAAACACATTTAGTTAAGTAGATTTTTCTTAAATCCAGTGACACTAACATCATGGTCATGACAGCCCATTGGAAAGATCTGTCCACTGTTAGATACAAAAATGTTAGTCTTAAAAGGGACCAAGCTGCAGGTGGAAGAGCCACAGTAAAATGTGGGCACAAATAAAGATCCATGATAAAACCCATTCCAGTGGCAATGATACAAATAAAATTTCAGTAATAATGATACAAATAAACAACATAAGGGCAAAGAAACTTTGTGTGATATATCTCTTGATATACCAAAAATAAAACACAGACAAGAGATAAAAGAATCAAGGGTATTCCTTGCCCTACTTTAGGTATCAGGAAGTCAAACCTGGGCTTTATTTAGAAAAATGAAAAACATAAGACCTGTCCCCCTGTCAAACACCATAAAAGCTGAAGAGATGGCTTTAGGACTGCTAAGCTGGTGCGTGTGAACCAGAACAGGAGGATAGGCTCTGAAGGCAGAGAAACCTGAGCTTAGATCTAAGTACTGCTGCTCTGTGCCTTTAATCAAGTTACTTACCTTCTGAGCTCAGGCAGCTAATCAAAATGAATTCCCTTGACCACATCAGCTAATAGAATAATGAGAGAATTCCTCCTCCTAGAGTACTCTGGGTTTGTTGCAGCAAATGTGTCTTTGAAGAATGCTTGCTGTCTCTTTTTACATGACAGATGAAGCCAGCCCTTTTTATGGGAAAGCCTGTGACTTCATAAGTGGTATAACGGTTTTAGATGATGTGGCACTGTGTCTGAGGCCACAGAGACAGATGCCACTGCCTGCAGCATCAGGAACTTGGAAGACAGCTCCCACCCTGCTTGGGTGAAGAACTGGGTGGAGAAAAAGTGGCCGCAGATGAAATAGCAAAGTTATTTTAAAACTAAAACTATAAAAAGTCAACCATAGGACACATCCAATGGTGTCTTCAAAGCTCAGTATAAACTTCCTCTTTACTACCGTATTTTAAATCATCAGTGATCACGGCTAATTACAGCTTAATGAATTCTTGGGCTTCCGGGAGCAAAATCTTAATTTAGAGAAAAGAATACTCTTAGCATACGTTTATCTGGGCCAACAGATTTTTCACAACTTGTTAAACTGGAGTGTCCAACACTTGATTGAAAATGTGGATTTTTGTCCTGTGGTGAGATGTAAAAATAAACTTAGTGGCTATCCTCATACAGTTGCTTGCAAAAGAGCAGTCGAAGGCAGCTGCCAGCCTTGCCCAAAATAAACCGTCACCCTGTATCTTGGGAGGCATATCAAAGGAAATTGGGCAAAACATTCAGAAGCATCCAAGAGTCTGAGACACAATTTTACAATAACTGGGAAATGTATCAAC